AAATTAGAAAGCTGTGAAACAGTGTAGAGCCTCAGCTCCTCCTTCATGCAGACTTCCCTCATCTCGCCTGCTGCTTCCCGCAGGCGCGTATCCCAAAAAATCCTCCTTTTCTGTTCTCCACTCTACCTCTGGTGAATTCTTTCACCTCCGTGTCTCCAGCTTCACCCCAATATTTCTCCCTGCTCTACCTTGGATAGGGCAGAGAGGCGGAACAGGACACGGCCAAGCCAGGCCCAGTTCTCCCAGCTCTGGCCGCCAGGCCCCACTATCGGGACAGCGCCTTCCCTCTCCTCTCTTGAACTGCAGGGCTGGGACTGATGAGCCCAAAGATCCTTTGAGCTCTAATTTTATCAGGAAAGTAAATAAGACACTAGAGGAAGATGAGAAAGGACATCCCAATATTGGAAGAGCTCACATGTAGCTTGTGTCGCCCCTCAAAGGGAAGCTGGGCCTGAGATGCATGAGATGATCTATGCCTTCCGCTGATTCTGGTGCCGGAAACCATATAGTCACGAGGCAGTAGAATGAGAAAGGGTCTTAGGATTCCTTCCACCAAACTTCTCACTGGTAGCCGAGGAGCAGAGACTCTGTAACACTGGGGACAAAGACCCAGAGCCTTGGCTCGTTAGAGACAGATCTGAATCTGACTCTGTCATTGACTTGTGTCATTTCCAAGCCTCAGTTTCTCCATGATTGAAATGTAAACTTAAAAGGAAGTCATAATGTTTTCTTTACTCACATGAGAGACGTATGTATGTTCTTCTCTGCCAGACCCTGAATTGTTGTTTTGTGAAAGAGGGCTCTTCTATTGCCAAATACATAACAGTTTTCCACCCACTTATTCTTGGATGATGTCGTGCCAGAAAATAAATACCAATATAGTTTTATTAATACCATTTCGATATGACTGAACATGTGTTTGTAGAGAAAACTAGGGCATTTGTATTCTTGTGGGTGTTTGGTGAGGAAGGTGGGGTTGGGGCAGGGAAAGGCTCAGCAGGGGGTGGTTCCCACATGCTGACACCCCCTGCATCATCACCTAGAGCTCCTTTGAAGCTCTCGATTATTAGGCTCTACCTCAGTTTATTCAATCAGTCTCTGATGATGCCATGAATTTATATTTTTAGTGAATATAATTTCTGTTAGCTAAAGATTGGTTGATTTTCATGTTACAGGAAACTCAAATTATGCTTTTTAACAAGGCAGAGTGTATTTCTGTCACAGAAAGAAGCTGTATCATGTACAAGCCCGGGCTGGCATGTGCAGGTCTCATCACGTTATGAGGGAAAGAGGATTTTCCCTACATGCTGCCTCTCATCCTTAAGGTATCACTTATTTTTATACCTTCAAAAAAATGATGACATTCATTTGCTTTATATACCTCCCAAGCAGAAAGAAAGAGGAAGTTAAAGGGCAAACAGGTACATGCCGGCTGAGTCAATCATTTCCAGAAATTCCACCCTACAGCTTATATCTCATTCTCCAGAATGTTTGTCCATCTGTGAGGGAGACAGCATACCGAGAATGCTTTTTATTTGAGCATGTTATCACCCACATGAAATCGGAGATCCATTGGTAAGAAATAGGAGCACATGGACATTCTAATGCTTGCAACTACCTATTTCTGCCGTTCTTCTATTGAGGATGTATTAAGACTCATATATATTTTTAAATTTATTTTCATTTTTGAAATATCATCCAATCTGCTCACAGTTATATTGAGTTTACCTCTTAAAAGTCTTCTGGAAGCTGTCACACCCCCCACAGCCCAATTCTCCTCCACCAGCCTAATTAAAAATTCACTGTAACGCCTTGCTCCATGGCTCCCAGCACGCTTGACCCAGCCCATTCCTCCTCAGCTAGTCCGTTTTATGACAGTCGCTGTGCAAATTTGACCGTGTCAATCACTGAATCCCATTAGCTCCTAGAATGAAGAAAAATGTTTTAATAAGGTCTACAAAACTGCATAAATTAGGATCTTGCTATGTGTCCAGTTTTGTTCCACAATATGCTTTTATCTCCCCTCCTTCCCCCACTTTCATGAAAAGATACTTGTACCTACCAGGCAGGCTCACTTACTCACTTATTCATTCTTCATATATTTTTTGAACAACTACTAGGAGAGTTAAAGGTCTCTATATTTTGCGAGATTGACTACAGAGACTAATAAGGATAAGTTTCTGATCTCAGGATCATGAGGCCTTGTTTGAAAAATAGGATGCCCTATGATTCTAATATGATGCAATGTGATCACGCTACACACACTTCCATACAGACAAGGTCATACAAAGAGCCGAGTGAGCGCTCTCACAAGGAGGCCGTGTGTATATTGGTTCTTGAAGAAGGACTAGACATCACCTAGTTAAAGGTAGGGGAGAGAAGAGAGAGTAGAGGGGCTCATCATCTGGCTCAGGGGACCAGTGAGGGAATATGTCCAGAAGACATCACAGATCATGATTTTTTTTTAATTTATTTTTTTATTTTTTTAAGATTCATTTATTTATAAAAGCACTGCGTACAGTCAGAAGCAAGGGAGGGTGACAGAATTCACCAGAGCCAGAGCGGAGAGTAGAGCAGGCCTACTGAGGAAGTACACTGCTGAGGGGAGCAGCTGGCGTGGCAGGAGAGGTCTGCGCACCAGGTGGGGGATTGAAATGGCGCTACAGAGGCTACTGGCAGTTTCGCAACCCAGCGCTCAACCACTGCGCCACTGGGGAGGCCTCAGATCATGATTCTTGACACTCAGTATACCCTAAGATGCCTAAAACCGGCTCACGACGTGGTGTGAACAGACAGGTGCTGAGACTGGGAAGCCTTGCTGGATTCCTAATCTGCAACATAAAGAGGGTGTCAGAGGAATCGCCACCTACTCAGCCTCAGGTACCACAGTCCGGTCTACAGAAAAGTGTGTGGTGCTTCCTTCCTGGATCCCTACTGCTCAGTCCCAGACACCCATTTCGTTTCTATATCCACAACTTAAACTCCATTCCTGGGTCAACACCAAATTCAGAGATGTAAAGCCGACTGCAAGGACAGAAGGGAAACCACAAGAGGGCGCTGTTCCCTGCAGGTGGCGATTTGACACAATTCATCTCCTTTTTACAGCCTGCTGTGTGCTTTTGCAGGGCAGTTTGTCTTGCTTGACATATGAACCAAGACGTTCTAGAAGATTCCATCAAAGCATCAGGAACTAGGGAAACGACCCTCTCAACTTGGGTACATTCCTAAACAAAACCTGTGCTCCCTTTCTGCCAGCCATGCTGTCTGCTTCCTGCTCAGGATTGATAATCCTGCTGATGTTAGGTGAGTAGCATTTATTCAAAACTCCAAATGTTCTATTCCTTGGTTTGTGGTAACCTGTAATCTCTGCCAGAGCAGACACTATCCCTCTCACACTGCCATATAATAAAGCCTTTACTTTTATTTTCAGGAAGGACCAATGGAGACTCAGTGAACCAGACAGTAGGCCCGGTCACCCTCTTCGAGGGCAAAGGTCTCACCCTGAACTGCAACTACGAGACCAGCTACACAGCTTATGTTTTCTGGTATGTCCAGCGTCCAAACAAAGGGCTTGAGATCCTCTTAAAAAGCTCAACAGAAAGCCTTAAGGACAGCAGTGGTTTCCAGGCCTCTCATGACAAGGATAAGAAAACCTTCCATCTGCAGAAATCCTCGGTGCAAGTGTCTGACTCGGCTGTGTACTTCTGTGCTCTGAGTCACACAGTGAGGGAGGCTGTTGGAGAAGCTGAGCATAAACCCAGAGGGCGCAGGTGGGGCTGAGGGGAGCTCTCTCAGGGGAGAGTGCTCTTTCCCCAGCCAGTGTTCCGGGCCACAGGCCTCCTCAGAGTCGTCCCAGCTCTTGGGTGACTCAATGAGAAAAGTGCTATAGTATATATCTCTTAATTTAAATAAATTTTTTTTGCACAATAAATTCAGGCATGACGTCTATAGGATGTGGAAGTTTTACTGAGTCTCTGGTTTTTCTTAGAACATTCATAAATTGTGCCCAAATGAAAAACTCTCAGGGACAAGTTTCTCACTATATACATAAAAAAGCCTCAGCTCTACTTTAGTTTAAGCAGAGTTAGTTTTAGTAGGTTCAAGAGTTTCTAGGACATTCGAGGTAAACCTATGTGGTGAAGCTAAGAGTGAAGAAATAGTGACTTGGCATTATCCCCACTACTAGTGTTGAAAGTATTGAAGAACAACAGCATTTAAAACTTTGGTGGGGGGGCCTCTCCGGTGGCGCAGCCGTTGAGCGCTGGGTTGTGAAGCTGCCCACAGCCTCTGTGTTGGTTCAATCCCCAGCTGCCAGCGAGGGTCCCACATGGCGCACAGACCTATCCTGCCACCCGCTGCTCCCCTCAGCAGTGTATTTTGTCAGTCTGCCTGTTCTGCTCCCCGCTCTGGCTCTGGTGAATTCTCTCACCTTCCTGCGCTTCTGACTGTACCCAGTACTTGTGTATATAAATAATCTTTAAAAAAAGTAAAATAAATATATTAAATCTTATCTTCATTTTGAATTTATTTTTGTAACATATTAAGGTAGAGGTTCAAATTTATTTGTTGATCTCTAAATGACTCACCATTCATGAAGATACCTTTTATTGAATATACCATCTTTCCTCATTTTTATTATAACTAAATTTCCATAAATTATTTGTATATTTAGACTTTTTATTCTATTCCATTAATCTATCTTCTGGACCAGGCCAGAAAGATGCCTTTTCTCTTAATAAGCATTACACTCTGTTGCATTAACGGTAGAGGAAATCCCTCTCAATTCTGAGAAGCTTGGGGCTTCCTGACCTGCAGTTATCTGCAGCATCAGATTTGGCCTCTAGAGGAAGATGCTACACAAATTGAACTTGGTAGGAAGCCAGAAAGCAACCAGCCTTTGAGGAAAAGCTTTTGCTTTACTTGTGAGCCAACTCCCTCACCAGGTGTGAGCGTCCCTGCAGCTGACAGTACCCAGGACGACCCTTCGATTTCCCTCAGACATGAAGCCTGGCCTCATCTTCTTGCTAGTGCTCATACTCACCCTCGGTGAGTAAAGTCTCTTTTGATCCTTTCTATGGTGTTCTTATTAAGAATCAGCCTGAAGAAATATTCCCTCCGTCTGATCCTGAACTGGTGTTGCAGGTGGAACAGGAGCCCAGACAGTGACTCAGCCCCCGGACCTCATCTCTGTCCTTGCAGGGACCCCCGTGCGGCTTGAGTGCAACTACTCATATTCTGGGAGCCCTTATCTCTTCTGGTATGTCCAATACCCCAAACAAACCCTCCAGGTTCTCATGAATCACCTCTCAGGGAAGAATGACAAAGGTTTTACGGCCAAGCATGACAAGGGTACGACTTCCTTCCATCTGGAGAAAGCGTCAGCCCAGGAGGAAGACTCAGCCACGTACTTCTGCGCCCTGAGTGCCACAGTGACTGGGTGTGCAGGTGAAGCGCAGCTTAAACCCCACGCTCCCAGGAAGTCTGTGATTCTTGGCCCCAGTGGGGCATTCTTTCTCTAGAGACTGACACTGAGTTTAGATCCAGTACCAGCAGTCGTCAGTTAGCTGTAGATTAACCTCAAAAATTATCCAAGAAAATTCTCATTATTACTGTCTAAATTAGTTTTAAAAACAGTAAGTATATTTTTCTGTCCACTAGTATCTAGAAAATACCTTTGAAATGAAAACGAGATTGCATAGCATAAAAATATTATTTCCTAGATTCAGAGGACCTCCCAGGCTCTCAAAAGTGCAGACTCCTCTCCAGCTCCTCTTCACCCATAGAACCCAATATGCTCATCACCTCACATCCAAGCACAGGTCCTTGAAAGGACAGTACAGTTTTATGATGTGACAGTTCATCTTCCTGCATCTAACACCTTTCCTCTCGTGCCCTTCATGGATGCCTGTGACCTCAATTGTAGTCCAGTGAGGAGGAAAAAAACCCAGTAACTTGAACAAGGGAAGTTTAATGTAGAATTATTAGATAATAATAGGAAATCAGCTACTACTTATGGTGGAAAAGAACTCTAAAAATACAGGAACAGCCTATGTAGGCAAAACTCTAGTTTAAGCCAGAATTTCCAAGTAAATGACACATGGTAATATGTACCTCCCTGGCCTACTAAGCCTGTGATTCAAACCTCCTTGGGGAGGGTGTGGCTGTAGCCTATGGGATGGTGGAGAAGTGTGTTGAGGTGCCAGGGGAAAGGATTGGCCAGCAGGAAAATATCTACCAAGTTTCCAGCATTTGTAGAAAGCTGGTAAAGGGGTGCTGCTGAAGTTGCTTGGGGCAGTTGGGAAACTGCCAAGAAAACACCTGTGGGGCTGTCTCTGAGTTTTGCTGGGGGTGTGATTGTGTATCCCACAGGCTGACCAAACATTGTAGAAACATGTGAAAACCTTCCAGAACCTGAAGAGAAGACTCTTGTTCCTGCAGTGTCCTCCCAGTTCCATCAACTGAGGAGTTGTCATGCCAGCTGGCAAAGGTGAAATGTTTCTAGGGTCCAGGACCAATATGGGCAGTGATCCTTCTCTGAACACTTAACCCAATAGGAAAAGGAACAAGATGAACTTTAAAATGCTGTAACAGGAACCAGGAAAATAAACACATTGTGTAGTTGCTAGAAGGGTGGTGGTGTGGTGGTGGCGGTGGTGGTGAGAATGTAGCTCCAAATCAGTTTTACCTAACCTTTAAGACTATTCTGAGTCCAGAAGATAAACTCAATAAAGGAACGTTAAATAAATTCAAGTAAGAATAACTGTAAAAATTAGCGATCCTTTTGTAAGGACCCTTCTGTATTAACATGATTTCGCTGCCTTCTTCAGGAAACTCAGGAAAGTTAATTTAGTTAAGCAAGCGGTATTCTCATGTGGCCAAATAGCTGCTTGATCAGGATAACCTATTTGCTTAATGGAAAAAATAATTTTCTCATTAAAACTTACCTCAAGACCTTTGCCAAATTATTATCTACCAATCTTAAACTTTTATATAAGCCTTGCTAATCCAAACTGACTCTTTTCCCTGAAATATACACACACTTTCAACATCTTAAAAACAAAAAAGCCCCTATACCTGCCCCTGTCTAATTTAATCTTTTTTTTTAAAGATTTATTTATTTATGCATACTAGAGTGGGGTACGGGCTAGAGATGTGGGGTGGGGGTTGGGGGGATTCACCAGAGACAGAGTGGGGAACAGAACAGGCAGACTGACTGAAATACACTGCTGAGGGGAGCAGAGGGCGAGTCAGGAGAGGTCTGCCGCACCATGTGTCTTGCTCTCTGGCTGGCCGGGAATTGAACTTGTGCTGCAGAGGCTGCGGATTGCTTCATAGTGCGGTGCCTAACCTCTTGCGCCACCAAGGAGGCCCTAATTTAATCTTTTTTTGACATACTATTAATGTAAAATGTGCAACCATAAAACTTAAAAAAAAATTAGGAGAAATTCTTTGGGACCTAGAGGTAGGTTAAAAGTTCTTGGACACGACACCAAAAACACAATCTATAAAAGTAATAAAAATTCTACCTCATCAAAATTAAAATCTTTGGCACTATCAGATACTCCTTTAAGAGAGGATTAAAAGGCAACTTTCCGATGTAGAGAAAATATTTGTAAATTACATATCCAACGAAGGTCTTTATATCTGGAATAAATAATAAAACTCTTCAATCTACTAAAAACAAACAAACAAAACCAAACAAACTGGGCCTCCCCTGGTGGCTCAGCAGTTGAGTGCTGGGCTGCAAAGTTGCCCGCAGCCTCTGTAGCACTGGTTCGATCCTGGGCCTCAGGGTGAGGTTCCCACATGGCGTGCAGACATCTCCTGTCACGCCCGCTGCTCCCCTCAGCAGTGTATTTCCTCAGTCTGGCTGTTCTGTTCCCCATTTTGGCTCTGGTGAATCCTCTCACCCTCCCGCGCTTCTGACTGTACCCAGTGCTTGTATAAATAAATAAATAAATCTTTAAAAAAAAAGGTTTACAAAACAAAAAAAAAACAAAAAACAAAACCAAACAATCTAATTGGAAAAAGAATGGACGTTTCACCAGAGAGGAAATATGGATGGAAAAGAAGCAAATGAAATTATTTTTAACATAATTACCCATGAAGAAAATGCAAATCAAAACTATGAATCACTGTGGGTTATCACTGTGAACATGTTCGAACAGCTAAGATACAAATTAATGATAAAAACTAAAGTGTTGTTGACTTATTTTGAAAGTCATCCAACCCAAATGGTCTCCTAGAATCATCTCCTGGCACTCCCTAATGGATACATTGCTCTGGGCAACAATCCCTTCCCTTCTGCTTCCATACCTTCCTTCCTTCCCCTCCCCATTGCCCCACCCCCCCCCCAGCCCCATTTGCACAGGAATATTTAAAATTTAATTTTTGAAAACTCAACCTAAGGGATTTTTGTTTTTCTTCCTGTTTGTTCAGCATCAGAAGCCATCTTCTTGTAACCACTTTTGAGTCATAAACAAAAATGTCAGGCTCTGCTCTAAGTAGCATTTATTGTTATTGATAAATTTTGGCAATTCTAAAGAGGTAGTGTTATTATTGCTCATCACTGAAACTTTAGAGTCAAGAGAGTCTAGGCACCCAGGACATAAACAGCCCCGGATAGAGAGAGCTGAATTTGACCTCAGTGGCCTGATTGCAAAGCTCGTTCTCCTCTTGTACCCCTCTGCCTCTTGCCATGGAAATTGAAAATATCAGGTACTCATTGTTGTCAGGTGAATACTAGGACTATATTTGGAGACAGGGTCTTTAAAGAGGTGACTCAATGAACATGGAGTCTTTGGTGACCCTTAATCCAAAGACCAGTGTTTTAAAGAAGAGGCGATTAGGATATGTCTCCACATGCGTAAGGGATGACCCTGTGCGGACACAGCAAGAAGGCAGCCATCTGTAAGCCACAGAGAGGGACTGCTGAGACTTCCGTCTTGGAGTATCAGATTCTGATTTTGTGAGAAAATAAATTTTTGTTGTTTAAGCCACCGGCCAATAGTATTTTGTTTGGGCAGCCCTAGCAAACTAATATACTCATACATCCACCCTGCTTTGCAGAGAGGGTTGTATACGATATTTAGATTCTATCAACCAGATGCGTCCTGCTTAAACCTTGACTCAGGAGTTACTTATTAAAAAAAATAAATAAAAAGAATCATGGTTATTAACTGCAAGATTGTAGTTTCCAGGCAGCAGGAACAGTGGAGTTGGAGCTGCATACAGTGTCCTCTCCTACTAGCTTCTAAGGCACAACCTGTAGTATTTGGAGCGCAAAAGGGAATCCAGTGCTGTATTCTGAGGAGCAGTTCTGGAGACTGATTTTCTGAATTGTTCCTGGCTCACAAGCTCAGAGTCCAGGTCTCTGATTTTACTGGAGATTCTCAGGCAAACCCAGGATTAGTCAACTTGTTCCTTTTCTACTAATTCAACCAGAGTCAGTTTCTGTTGCTCAAAAATAAGAAACCAAACTCAAATATAATCTCATGCCAGTATTAGGCAAATATGGAAGAAAATGAAGATCATAGCTAAATCAATGGAGCTTATATATATATATATATATATATATATATATATATATATATCAATACATATCATAGATGTTATAGGACAGGGAGAGGGGCAGCCCAAACCCCGCAAACCTGCCTATTCTAAATGGGTTTTGCCATTCGCCGCATCAACACAAAACATAGGAGACTTTAATGGGAAGGAACTTTAATAAAACTAGGAAACAATACAGGTAAGGCAAAGAGTTTAGTTTCTAAATGAAGCATCCAGAGTTACCCGTCCCCTCGTGGGTAAAAGTCCATCCAAATGGGATTGGCCCAGAACAAGGCCCCAAAGCCTGCTACAAGTCTAAAGCATCTTCCAGTGGGGACCCACAGAAAAGGGTCACAAACAACCGGACAAGCCCGGAAGGAAAAGAGCAAAATCAACATCAAGATAAAAGCTGCCATGGTCACCTCCCCACGGGTCTCACCCACATCTGTGTCACCCCGTCCACGACCAAAAGACAAGTGCAGTTTCTTCATATGTCTCTAGGCTCCACGCGCCTCCTCCAGGTCTCCTGGCTCCATCCTGCTTCCTTCCTCAGTCTCTTCTGCAGCTTTTCCTCTTCCTGCTCAGCTCCACCCTCCCTTGGGCGGGGTAGGGAAACTCCCCCTTTCCTGGGGACCACCCTGTTACATAGATATAGATATATCAATATAGAATCAATAGGCATTCTACTGATACTGGGCACCAACATTCTTTTTAAATTAACTTCGTACCTGAATTAAATTTTTCCATCTCTAGGTTGCAACTGTAGTTCAATAAATGCAGAGAATGGAGCAGCTTTGTCATGTCTTCACCTTTGCAGAGCCCTTTCCAGTGACAGGATGATGTGGCGCCACAAGGGGGCAGTGTGTCCCCTCACACTAGCCTGTGTATTAAAGCAAAGGCCTGAGTTTGCCTCTTATTGGCTTGGGGAGAATAGAGACTTTCTAGGATCAAGGGGGATTGGAGAAATGCACCCAGTAAAGAAAGCAGCTCTTTAGACAGAGGAGCCAGGTTGCATCTCAGGCTCCAGCCCAGAGTCTTTTGTGATCCCCATAAGGAAGAAGAATGAAGAAACTCCCGGGAGTGTCTTTGGTGATTCTGTGGCTTCATCTGGCCAGTGAGTTGGGGCTGTTGGTGATGGGAACAGGAAGATCATGGTTCAGAGTCCACAGGACTAAAGGGCTAGGTCTTGCTGTTAATTTGGAAATGTACAGGAATAGTATGGAAGGAGAGTCAAAGTGCAATGACTGACTCAAAATCCTTGTGTTTCTGCCTAGGGGTGAGCAGCCAAAAAGGACAACAGAGTCTCCAGACCCTGAGCATCCAGGAAGGTGAAAATGCCACTGTGAACTGCAGTTATGAAGTGACTATAACCAACTTGCAGTGGTACAGGCAAGATTCAGGGAGAGGCCTTACCCACCTAATTTCAATATTTTCAAATAAGAAAAAGGAAGAAGACGGGAGACTTCAAGTCACGCTTGACACCGCCAAAAAAAGCAGTTCCCTGCTCATCCCGGCCGCCCGGGCTGCAGACTCTGCTGCTTACTTCTGCGCTGTGGACGCACAGTGCTCCCCAGGCACCTGCAGCCACGACACAAACCACCAGAGCTGCCTTTTAGCGGCCCCCTCCGTGGGCTGGGTTGGTGGTTATGTCTTCCCATGAGGGAGCATCCACGGCGCCTGGCAGCAAGAAAGGGAGAGCCTCTCCAATTTGTGAATTTTGTGGAAGTACTTTTTGTAGGGGTACCATTGACTGAGGTTAAAAACTAAGCCCCCAGTTCTGGCCCAGTGGGCAGGTTTGGGAGGCTTGAATGGATAAGGGAATGGATAAGGCTGCCTGGGGGCATGGCCTTGAGACAGATCTCCATGACCAGGAAAAGGAGCCCAGCTCCAGGCATGCAGAAGCAGAGGCCAGAAGATGTCTCTGTGTCAAAGGCTAGCCCCTGAGGCCAGCTATCCCAGCAGATAACAGGTGCCAACTGGTGCCCTAATTAGAAAGCTGTGAAACAGTGTAGAGCCTCAGCTCCTCCTTCATGCAGACTTCCCTCATCTCGCCTGCTGCTTCCCGCAGCCGCGTATCCCAAAAAAATCCTCCTTTTCTGTTCTCCACTCTGCCTCTGGTGAATTCTTTCACCTCCGTGTCTCCAGCTTCACCCCGATATTTCTCCCTGCTCTACCTTGGACAGGGCAGAGAGGCGGAACAGGACACGGCCAAGCCAGGCCCAGTTCTCCCAGCTCTGGCCGCCAGGCCCCACTATCGGGACAGCGCCTTCCCTCTCCTCTCTTGAACTGCAGGGCTGGGACTGATGAGCCCAAAGATCCTTCTCGCTCTAATTTTATCAGGAAAGTAAATAAGACACTAGAGGAAGATGAGAAAGGACATCCCAATATTGGAAGAGCTCACGTGTAGCTTGTGTCGCCCCTCAAAGGGAAGCTGGGCCTGAGATGCATGAGATGATCTATGCCTTCCGCTGATTCTGGTGCCGGAAACCATATAGTCACGAGGCAGTAGAATGAGAAAGGGTCTTAGGATTCCTTCCACCAAACTTCTCACTGGTAGCCGAGGAGCAGAGACTCTGTTACACTGGAGACAAAGATTTAAAGCCTTGGCTCATTAGAGACAGATCTGAATCTGACTCTGTCATTGACTTGGCGTGTCATTTCCAAGCCTCAGTTTCTCCATGATTGAAATGTAAACTTAAAAGGAAGTCATAATATTTTCTTCACTCACATGAGAGACGTATATATGTTGTTCACTGCTAGATCCTGAAATGTTGTTTTGTGAAAGAGGACACTTCTATTGCCAAATATGTAACAGTTTTCCACCCATTTATTCTTGGATGATGTCGTGCAAGAAAATAAACACCAATATAATTTTATTAATACCATTTTGATATGACTGAACCTGTGTTTGTAGAGAAAACTAGGGCATTTGTATTCTTGTGGGTGTTTGGTGAGGAAGGTGGGGGTGGGGCAGGGAAAGGTTCAGCAGGGGGTGGTTCCCACATGCTGACACCCCCTGCATCATCACCTAGAGCTCCTTTGAAGCTCTGGATTATTAGGCTCTATCTCAGTTTACTCAATCAGTCTCTGATGATGCCATGAATTTATATTTTTAGTGAATATAATTTCTGTTAGTTAGTTAAAGACTGGCTTATTTTCATGTTACAGGAAACTCAAATTATGTTTTTTAACAAGGCAGAGTGTATTTCTCTCACAGAAAGAAGCTGTATCACGTACAAGGCAGGGCTGACATGTGCAGGTCTCATCACGTTATGAGGGAAAGAGGATTTTCCCCACGTACTGCCTCTCTTCCTTAAGGTGTCACTTATTTTTATACCTTCAAAAAAATGCTGAGATTCATTTGCTTTATATACCTCCCAAGCAGAAAGAAAGAGAAAGTTAAAGGGCAAACAGGTACATGCTGGCTGAGTCAATCATTTCCAGAAATTCCACCCTACAGCTTATATCTCATTCTCCAGAATGTTTGTCCATCTGCGAGGGAAACAGGATATCAAGAATGCTTTTTATTTGAGCATGTTATCACCCACATGAAATTGGAGCTCCATTGGTAAGAAATAGGAGCACATGGATATTCTAACGGTTGCAACTAGCTATTTCTGCCATTCTTCTGTTGAGGATTTATTAAGACTCACATATATTTTTAAATTTATATTCATTTTTGAAGTATCATGTCCAATCTACCTCAGTTATATTGAGTTTACCTCTTAAAAGTCTTCTGGAAGCTGTCACACCTCACAGCCCAATTCACCTCCACCAGCCTAATTAAAAATTCACCTTAACGCTTTGCTCCATGGCTCCCAACATGCTTGACCCAGCCCATTGCTCCTCAGCTAGTCCGTTATATGATAGTCGCGGTGCAAATTTGGCTGTGTCAATCACTGAATCCCATTAGCTCCTAGAATGAAGAAAAATGTTTTAATAAGGTCTACAAAACTGCATAAATTAGGATCTTGCTATGTGTCCAGTTTTGTTCCACAATATGCTTTTATCTCCCCTCCTTCCCCCACTTTCATAAAAAGATACTTGTATGTACCAGGCAGACTCACTTATTCACTTATTCATTCTTCATATATTTTTTGAACAACTACTATGAGAGTTAAAGTTCTCTATATTTTGAGATATTGACTACAGAGACTAATAAGGATAAGTTTCTGATCTCAGGATCATGAGGCCTTGTTTGAAAAATAGGATGCCCGTGATTCTAATATAATGCTATGTGATCACGCTACACACACTTTCATGCAGACAAGGTCATACAAAGAGCCGAGTGAGCGCTCTCACAAGGAGGCCGTGTGTATATTGGTTCTTGAAGAAGGACTAGAGATCACCTAGTCAAAGGTAGGGGAGAGAAGAGAGAGCAGAGGGGCTCATCCTCTGACTCAGGGGACCAGTGAGGGAATTTGTCCAGAAGACATCTGAGATCATGATTTTTGACACTCAGTATACCTTAAGATGCCTAAAACCAGCTCACGACGTGGTGTGAACAGACAGGTGCTGAGACTGGGGAGCCTTGCTGGATTCCTAATCTGCAGCATAAAGAGGCCTGCCACCGACTCAGCCTCAGGTACCACAGTCCGGTCTACAGAAAAGTGTGTGGTGCTTCCTTCCTGGATCCCTACTGCTCAGTCCCAGACACCCATTTCGCTTCTATGTCCACAACTTAAACTCCATTCCTGGGTCAACACCAAATTCAGAGATGTAAAGCAGACTACAAGGACAGAAGGGAAACCACAAGAGGGCGCTGTTCCCTGCAGGTGGCGATTTGACACAAATTCATCTCCTTTTTACAGCCTGCTGTGTGCTCTTGCAGGGCAGTTTGTCTTGCTTAACATATTAACCAAGACGTTCTAGAAGATTCCATCAAAGCATCAGGAACTAGGGAAACGACCCTCTCAACTTGGGTACATTCCTAAACAAAACCTGTTGCTACCTTTCTGCCAGCCATGCTTTCTGCTTCCTGCTCAAGATTGATAATCCTGCTGATGTTAGGTGAGTAGCATTTATTCAAAACTCCAAATGTTCTATTCCTTGGTTTGGGGTAACCTGTAATCTCTGCCATACCAGACTCTATCCCTCTCACAATATAATAAAACCTCTGCCAATATAATAAAGCCTTTACCTTTATTTTTAGGAAGGACCAGTGGAGACTCAGTGATCCAGACAGCCGACCCAGTCACCTTCTTCGAGGGCACAGCTCTGACCCTGAACTGCAACTACCAGACCGGCCTTTCACCGTTCCTTTTCTGGTATGTCCAGCGTCCAAACAAAGGACTTGAATTCCTCCTAAAAAGCTCAACAGAAAGCCCAACGGTGTACAGCAGTGGTTTCCAGGCCTTTCATGACAAGAATAACAAAACCTTCCACCTGAAGAAATTCTTGGTGCAAGTGTCTGACTCGGCTGTGTACTTCTGTGCTCTGAGTGACACGGTGTGGGAGGCTGTGGGGGAAACTGTGCACAAACCCAGAGGGTGCAGGTGGGCTGAGAAGAGCTCTCTCAGGGAAGGGTGCTCTTTCCCCTCGCCAGTGTTCCAGGCCACAGCCTCCTCAGAGCCCTCCCAGCTCTTGGGTGGCTCAATGAGAGAAGTGCTATAGTATATATCTCTTAATTGAAATAAAATCTTTTTTACACAATAAATACACATATGAGGTCTATAGGATGTGGAAGTTTTATTGAGTCTCTGTTTTTCTAAGCACATTCGCTATATACGTAAAAAAGCCTCATCTGTACTTTAGTTTAAGCAGAGTTAGTTTTCGTAGTTTCAAGAATTTCTAGGGCTTTTGAGGTAAACCTATGTGGTGAAGCTAAGAGTGAAGAAAACGTGACTTGGCTTTATCCCCACTACTAGTGTTGAAAATATTGAAGAACAACAGCATTTAAAACTTTGGTGAGGCTGGTCTATTGTAGATACATGTTCTCATGGATCTGCTAGAGAGGTGGAACAGAGGGCGCAGGATTTAAGAGTGCAGAGTTTAGTGACTAGATGGAAGAGACAAAGGCCAATGGAGATTGACCTTTGCTGGTGTTTTTACTAGGATTTCTATTGCTTTAAAAAAATGCTTTGGTTACAAATTTGTGTGTTTTTTAAGGTTCTTTGTATTCCAATTTCCACCATAATTAATGTGTATGGTTTGACAAAGCAGGAACATTTTCGGAAATACACATATTGAGCTATGACAGTAATTCCTATACTTAAGCACAGAATAGAAATTTCTGGATTTTTATACACACACATACACACAAAATATATGTACACATATATATGATGCATGTATGTTTTTCCCTACTCTTACTTATCACGGTACACACACTTGACAGACTTGGTGAATCTGGAGGCGAGATGTGAAATCATTAAAAACAAAATATTTCTCATGCAACGTCTATTGGATTATTTTATTGGATTCCATGACTAGCAAGGCAGAAACAAAGACTGAGACTAAAAATTTTGCGTCCATTTTAGAGAGTCAAAACTCCATGGTTACTTTCCTCTTAGTTCTCTTGGGAGAGAAAGAGGTATATGAAAAACCAAAAGTTGCATAACTCAGTGCAGTCATGATAAATTGTGTTGTATAAAAAAACTTACATTTCCCATCACAGAAGAATTAATTGAACATGATTTAATTTTAACACCCTTTATTCCC